CCGCTCCTGAATTCAGCCCTTCGAGGTGGGGATGCTGGTCCTCACTGCTTGGGCGCCTCAGCCGCAGGCGTCCCCCTCACTCCGCCTCCCCTCCCGTGTTAAATAGTCTCCTTAAGGATAAAAGAGAACATTTCCTGCCAGAAGGAAGCAGGAAAGACAAGTGCCTTGAGGCCGGTGGATGGGCCGACTGGGATGGTTAGGCCATAATTATGACCGCATTTTTTAGCAACAGAAGCAAAAAGCAAACCAGTCTCTTGAGTTAAAACTGGCCTGAAGCATTAGAAAAGGGATCGGGTTTCAGGGAGACAAGATTGCATGTGTGTGTGTGTGTGTGTGTGTGTGTGTGTGTGCACGCTCACGCGCATGCACCTTGTCTACAGCACGGAGGGGGGAGCGAGATATTTGGAGTCAGAGTGTCAACATTAGAACAGCTCAGACCCCAATGCCAAAAGCAGTGTGATCCTGGACAAGTCACCCCACTTCCCTGAGCCTCAGTTTCCTTGCCTCGTGCAGCTAAAGGAGGGAAGGCCAGCGCGCAGCCCCGGGTGCACGGGAAGTGCCACCCAGATGACAACCACCGCCTGTCCACCCGCACACTCACGCGCAGGCACTGGGTGTGGAGAGCCTGGTGGGGACACGCTGTGCGAGGCCGGCCGCAGAGGGTCCTGGCTGGAACAGGGAGCCCCCGTCCTGGCTCTGCTGCCGGGGACCCTGGGCATTACTCTCGGTGCCTCACCTCCTCGTTAGCCAAATGGGAGGAGTCATGGCACCCACTTTCCGGGATTATTGCAAGGCAGTGGTTCTCAAAGTGGGTGCCCAGATTGTCAGCACCACCTGGGGACTTGGTAGAAATGCCCACTTGTGGCCTCACCGCAGACCTGAGGGGTCAGAAACTCCTGTGCTGTGAAAAACGCTCTGCGTGATTCTGGCCGGGACCCACCATGGCGCAGAACCAGTACGTGAGAAGGGAGCCGCCCTGAGGGTCATCGCTACTTGTGCCTCGAATTTCAACTGCATCTGGGTTGGGGGCAGCTTCCACCTCTGTCCAGCTTCTGTTGTCCTGCCTCCAACCCCCCTTCCCAGCTCTGCACTCGGCAGCCTTTGGGGATCAATGAACCATGTCTATGAAAGTCCAAGTTTCCTGGAACTAGCCGGAAATGCAAAGGGTTATCATTAGAGCTTGGTCTTTCTGTTCCCTCTCTTCAGTCTGGGATCCTAAAAAACTCAGTAAACAGCACTCACCTTCAGAAGGGCAAACGGTGCTGAAGAAGGCGGTGGGCCCTGGGTCGAGAATCCCCCTGCACCTGCCACGTGCAAGCCCCCAGCCCACACGGGTCTCTAGCCTCAGCCAACAGACCTCTCCCAAGACAGCATACTTCCTGTCACTGCATCCCAGAGCTGGACATATGTGCATTCTCTCATTCACTCATTCATTCGTTCAACACACGTTTCTTGTGCCACTACTATGTGTCCTTTTCTAGGTGCTGGGTGAAAACTGAAGAAAACAAAGTTTCTGCTCTCATGGGGCTGATATTGCCAGTAGGGGAGATAGAAGGAAGCCATACACCAATAAACAAATCATCTGATGATAGAAGCTCATTAAACTATGAATGAACGAATGAATGAATGAATGAATGAATGAATGAATGAATGAATGAAGCAGGCAGCACAGGCATGTGCTTGGGATCCAGACAGACCCGAACTCCGATCTTGACCTTGTCATTTCCTAGGCACGGACGCTAAGGCAAACTCAGCCTCTGTGAGCCTCAGTGTCGTCACCTCTACACGGGGACAGGAACAGTACCCACTTCAAAGATAGCTGGGCAGAGTCAATGAGCAGAATGCTAAGCACTGTGCCTGGCACACAGGAAGTGCTGCATGAAGCTAAACGTTATTGTCGTCCTTACTCAAGGGCACAGCCGAGCCTAAGAGCCGAACGGGGCCACCCCTGGGAGGGACCCCGGTGACTGGCTAGTGGTTTGACTCCTGATTTTAATAAATAAGCACAGGAGGGTCAGAGGGATCTGTGACTTGCCCTAGGTCCCTCCAGGAGCTGGAAGCATCCTCCAGCAGGTGGAAGGCTCAGACCCTTCAGCCCTTAGAGGGAGCAGGCAGCCAAGCGGAGAGCCTGAGACAGAAGCTCCTGGGGCGCGCAGTGGGCTCTGCCTCCCATCTCGCTGCCCGCGGGGCATCACCACGCCGTCCCTCTCATGGCCCTCCAGAAGCACTGGGCTTGGGGTGGCAGCGAGGACCGGGAGGCAGCTACATCTTTCGACCACAAATGCGGGGCCCACCTTGGGTGGTCTGGTCTCACCGCCTATTTCATCTCTTGCCCCACCCCCACCCTGCTGTGTCTGCTCTGCTCCCCAGACCTTCACCAGGTTGGCCTGAGCCTGCCTGTGCTGCCAGCCGGGCCTGGGTTCGAGTCCACTGTCACCTTGGGGACTGGAGCTGTTCTGTCTGTATCTACACTCGTGTCCTCTGTCATCCCAAGGACAAACGATGTGCCCTCTGGCAGACCCCAGCACAGGGCTCGGCAGATATTACACACCCTGGTAATACCTCTCTGGGCAAATGCTTCCCTGGACAAACCAATCATCCTGCCCCTTTCTAAGTATGCCCTAGACACCCCCCTCTTAGTGCCTTTGGATACCTGAACCTCCCTCCCCTGCCCCGCAGCCTGCGCCATTCCTGCCCACAGCCGCCAGACCTGCCCGAGGTCTCTCCCTCTCCACAGAGCTGGCCCGCGCCTCCAGCCTCTGCCTGGAGTTACTGCTCGTTTGTGTAAACATATACACAGAGCTGTAAGCAACGTGCAGAAAGAATAGAAACAGTATCTCAGTGCTGTTTGTTGAGCACTTACTATGTGCTGGGCACTGCACTCAACACTCCCGTACGTCATGTCATGGACGCCTCACTAAATCCCAGCGAGAGATGTGTTACTGTGCCCCACTTACAGACCGAGAAACTGGGGCTCGGGGTTGCGATGCTCAGTGGCCAGGAAATGGGGCCTCTGGGAGTTGGACCTAATTCAACTGTATCTCTCCCACTGACCAGCACGGGGTTGCCTCCCAGTAACTGCTGGAAGAGTTTAGTAAGCTCTTTGAGATCTGAGGGAGGGAGGGAGGGAGGGAAGGAGGGAATTAAGGAAGCAGGCCAGGATCTGGCCTGGTTTTGTTCATCATTTAGGTTGTTGGTGAGCAGCCAGCCATGAAGACCCTGATGAGGGCGGCTGAGCTGTGGCGTATTGGCTGCGAATAGAAATGGGGAGGGGGGCGGGTCTGGAGGCCCGGGTGAGGTACGGTGGGGATCCAGGCTCTGGTGGAGCTATCTGAGAAGTGGCTTGCTGAGGACGGGGGTGTGGGGGAGACGGGCCGCTTACTGGAGTCACCAAGACCAGCCACCAGCTTCTCTCCAGCTCCGTCCACTCCGGCTCCTTTAAGCCCCTCCCTCCTTGCCAGCCACAGAAGGGGCAGCTGTCATCGCAGGACCAGGCGATCCTGCGCGTCTGACCTTGCTAGAGGTTCTCTATTCTCGTTTCTGACATAAAACTTTAATCAACTACACCCACGTCCAGAATCCTTGTACCTTTCCCAAAGCAATTTTCTGTCTATAACCACTGAATTTCCACAACGAGCCCAAGCAGGTCTTAGGATAAAACTGTGCACCCTATGTGTCTGGCAAGGGGACATACGTGTGGCCAAGGTCACAGCTGGTGAAGGGCAGAGAGGACGCAGAGCATGGGGGGCTGGACTTCACACCCAGGTAACAGAGGTTTATTAAGTGCCTACTTTGCGGCAGGTATGGACTAGATACTGAGGGTAAAAGGACGAGTACAATTAATGGAGGCACGGTAGCACTTTCTCTGTGCCGGGCACTATCCTAAACACTTCACACAGCGACACAACTGATCCTTACGAAAAACCCAAGACATAGCAACGATCACTGCCCTCAGTTCAGAGCCAGGAAAACGGAGTCACAGAGCCGTTACTTGAATTGCCCAAATCACACAGCTAGAAAGTGGCAGAGCTGGGATTTGACCCCAGGCAGCCCGGACCTAGAGGTGAAGCACCTACACAGTTTCCATGTAGACGGGCAGACACGAGACGCCACAGGAGCGCGTTGGGAAGAGTTATTCAGACCTGATTAGAAACCCCCTCCCCACCACTGACTTCCTAGCTCTTCGAATAGGCTAAGGCTCCTCAAGCTCGCTTTGCCCACCTGCAAAATTAAGAAAACTCCCAGGATGTGTGATGCTAAGACAGAGAATGACACCGGGATGGGCTGCGGGAATGTGGGTTAGAGCTGAGCGGAGAAGGATGTGAGATGCTGGACCACCGGCCCCTCGCCTGCCCTGAAAGCTAAGCTTGAAGAGCGATATTCCGTTTCCTCCTTCCCAGCCGATCCGTGGCGGGCTATTTTTCCTGGCTCTCCTACAATGCTGGAATGGTCTGTTTGGGTGAAGCCCAAACGGGTCTGAGACTTGAAGTTACAGGACACCCTGACAAGATGTTGAGGAGGACAGGAGATAAGGAATTTCCATCCTTGGAATCTGAGAACGTGAGAGCCAGCAGGGTCCTTGGGGATCAGCCGGCCTCATCTGCTCGGGTTGCAGAGTGGAGACTGAGGCCCGGAGGAGAGAGAATACCCAAGGTCGCAGACAGTCCAGACAGAGCCGTGATAAAACCCAGGAAATGGTGCAGGCAAAGTTCACGGAAAACCCCAAATTCTCCTGAATTCCCTCCCCACAAGGTAGGGAGAAAAAAAAGAAAAAAGAACCTGTTCTTTTGGGAATGTTCAAATTCAGGACGAATACACCAGTTTCTCTTTGCCTGGCTTGCACGACAGAGCTCTCGTGCCTAACAGATTGCCTCTTGTCTTCTGATCTCGGGGGCTGTGTGCCCTCTGCTCTCCCTTCACGTGGCAGACACAGCTTCGCGCTTTCAGCACCCAGACACCCCAAGACCCACACGTGCCCAGGCCCGGTCACGGCCACTCACCATCGACCCCGATCTTGCCGTCCCCGTCCTTGTCCCCCGCGGCCAGCAGCGTCTTGGTTTCTGTGACAGACAGGTCCCTGGCGTCTGCAGAGAAGCCCTTCAGGATGGATCTGGGAAGGAGAGCCAGGGAGGGAGTCAGCTCAAGGTCACCTTGCAAGAGCGCGGTCCGGAGGGTGGGCTGGCATCGCGCAGGGGAAGTGGGCGGCTGGAACCGCAGCAAGCAGCGCACATGCGGGTGCTGGGCCAGCGGCCGGGCTGCGGCTGTGCCTCCCGGGTGGGGCTGTGGGAAGGACAGGCTGTCCTCAGTGGTGGCTGACCACACTTCAGGCAGGGCACCTGCACTTGTTTGTTTATTCAGCCAACACAACCAACACAAAAGTGTCTTCTCTGAGCCGGGGCCATGCTGGACATGGTGGGAGGCACAGGATGATCTCAGGAAGGCGCCCGGAGAAAGGAGGAGGGGTCAGATGCTCTGGGAGAGACCACGGTGTGCAGGAGGCAGTGTGGGATGTGGAGGGGGTGCTGGGGGAGGCACCCATCTGCTCCGGGAGGAGGGGAAGGAAGAGTCTGGAGAAGGTGATACCTGGAGGACAGGTAGAAGTCAGCTCCTGTGTGTGTGGGGGGGGGGGGCATGGATGGATAGAAGGAGAAGGTACTAGCGAGGGTATCCTTGTGGGATGGTTTGGGGTAAGACTGGGTGGATGGGGAAGTCCTCCCTTGAAAGGCTCCTCTCCACCCCCTCACCCCTTCTCTTCCTGACAAAATTCAAGGCAGTCTTGGCCAGAGAGCAACACAGGTCACAGCCGGGTCGGCAGACATGGGCCAGGTGGCCAAGAGGGTTACAGTGGGAGGCTCCTTCGCTGGTGCCATTCTACATTTTCCTTGTCACGACCTTCTCCTCCTTTGCTTTGCTCCCTGGACTCCTGAACCCCCAAAGCTGGTTCTGCAGCCCCGATTCACCCAGAATCGGGTGCAGAAGGGTCGGGATCCACAGGCGGGTGGAAGGTGCCTTCAGACGGAGGGACCAGTGAAGTCTCAGGCCAGCACTCCCTGTCATGCCTGTGGTGTCAGGCGGAGGAAAATGGCCTCCCGTCGTGTTAAATTATTAAGTAGCATCATTCCATTAGCAATATCAAGTCGCTACAATTTAACCTAGTCAGTCGTGCTTTCTGCTGAGGATTTTATGCTTCCGGAAGCAACGTGGTCGGGCATGGCTGTTTTCTGGGGGGCGCAGAAGCAGGCCGATCTGACGGGCTTTGGGAGAGTCCCGCCCCCTGCCCCTCCCCGAGCCCCAGGTCGGCAGCCCTGCAGGCCTCAGTTTACCCCAGCTCGTCCTCCTCGATGAAGCCACTCTTGTCCTTGTCCAGGATGTGGAACACCTTCTTCACGTCCTCCGCACTCTTCTTCTTCAGGCCCACCATCTGGAAGAACTTCTTGTGGTCGAAGGAGTCGACCGCTGTGGGGCGGAGAGAAGCGGGTTGAACCGGAGCGGGCAGTGGGGAGGGGAAGAGGGTGTCACAGAATTTGTTGGCTCACTCCCCTGTGTCAGTCCTGGGGGACAAAGGGGATACGCCTCCACAGGAGGGCTGAGGATGCCAGGCCCCAGAGGGTGCTTTGCCCAAGGTCACATAGGTAGAGGCGGGAGGAGTGAGCTTGCACCCGGACTGCCCTGGCCCCCGAGCCTGCCCCCACCCTGCACTGGCCCCTCACCGAGGTGGGGGAGCCTCTGGGGGCAGCCGGGCATCAGGTGTTCAGGGAGTCTTTCAGGTGGGGGCGGAGTGGGGGTGGGGGGAGGAATTAGAGGGGATGTGAACTTGTTTGTGTATTTTGGGGCAGGGGAGGGGGCGAAGGGTGGGGGAAGAGGCAACCTGTCCTTGGCCACAGATTGTGGTACCAGAAAATCAACACAGAGAGGACACATTTCTCTCAAGGTCACACCATGGGTTGAGGACCCAGAAATCCCCGCTTTGCTGCAGAAATCTATTCTGGTGGGAGTTGGGGGTGTTAGAAGGCTCCCCAGTTAAGTTTCTATTTTGAGGGAGCAAGGAGGGTCAAGCAGAAGTGAGTGGGTTATCTCAGCACCCCACCTTCTTCATGCCCAGGGGAGGAGGCGCCAAGCAGAAAGGAAGTGGGCTCCCCCTTCCCCATGTTCTATGTCCAGCACTCCTTTTAGGAGCACCTGGGAAGGGGCGCACTGTTAGACGGAGTACCGTGTGTCTGGGAGGGGGTGTCCGGTTGAGTCATGTTCTCCTCCCTTCACCCAGGGCTGACGCTGGGACAGGGGACCAAGACCCAGTTCTAACCCCACTGGTGCCTGCTGGGTGACCTTGGGCAAGTTTCTGACCGGCTCGCAGCCTCAGTTCCCCGTCCGGGTGATGGGAGGGAGGAGGAAGGGAGCTAAGCACGCAAGTCCAGGGCTGCTCAGAAAGGTGAGACAGCCGCTCCCCCTGGGCAGCCGGAGCAGGCTGGAAGTTACAGCCGAGGATGCTCGACAGGGCTGGGCAGGCAGAGCGGAGTGCCGGCCTGGGAAGGTCACCTCATTCTCGGGTCCCTTGGAAAGGGGCTCTGAGCCCGGGCTGGGGGTTCGGACAGTGGTGGGGGCAGCCCTGCCCACCGCTGGACAAGAAGCACCCTGTCCAGAACGGGGGTCGAGGGAAGGGGTGGGAGAGAAGGCGTACATGCCTGCAGCGCGCCCGGTGCCTAGAGGGGAAGTCCCGGGCGACCGCGAGGACCCCGGTCTCGTCCTTGGCCCAGGACCCAGCCCTCCCAGCACGGCCACCCAGCCTTTGGCAGCCTGCAAGTTTTCATTTGCTCCGGCAGGGTGCCCCGCCTTCCCGCCCGATCCAAGTCCCCCCGGACCACTTTGGGAAATGCTGAGGACCCCCACTCCCCGCCCCGCCGGCGCCCCACGGGATGCAGGGACAGAGGGGTGCAGGGGCCAGGGCGGTGGGTGAGGGTAGAGGGCTGAGGAGGGAGCGCGCTGCTCACCGGCGAAGGCCCCCAGTGCCTTCTTGATGTCCTCCGCGCTGAGCAAGTCTGTCATCGACATCCTGCAACTGTTTGAGCGGGCAGAGCAAGTGCGAAAAGATTAAAAAGTGCCTTTCTCATCATTTCTGCTCATATGACCGGCGCTGCAGTGCTGCGCGCCGGGCGCACGCGGGCCGGCCTGGCGCAGAGCCAGGGGGCGCGGGGCTGGGCGCGCAGCCAGAGCAGCTCGTCCCGGTCCCGCCGCGCGGCCCGGCCCCCGCCACAGCCCCGTCAGGGGTCCCGCCATCCCAGGGGCTGCAACCAGGGCGCCGGGGAGAAGGGGGGACCTCTGGACTTTATGGGTTGCCCGCATCACCAGCCAGGTCTGGAGGATTCGCCTGCCGTCAAGGGCACACAGGAGGCGCCAGCCTGGTGCAGCTCAGGGCGTTGGGTCGGTGCACCTCGGAGGTTGTCCCGCCGCTTCAGGGAGGATATGGACAGGCAGGGGCCAGACCTACACCCTCGTGGGTCCCGTGGCCCTGCTGCCACTCTCTCTCTGCTCCTACCTCACTCAGCCTCCGCTCTTGTCTGTCCTGGATGCAAATTTTGTGCTGCAAAATCTGAGCGCTCAGGTCTGGAAACCCGACCCACGGGATGCTGGGGGGTGGGGCACAGGTAGGCGGGTCCTCCTTGGGCTCTGCGGGAGCCCCGTCCCACATCTGGTCAGGGATGCGCATCCTGAAACCTAATTTCTTTTCTACTCTCACTTTTCAAAGGACCTTTCTCAGATCTCCAGAACTCCTTGCTTCCTGGCCCCCTGAGCCTCGGAGCCTGGGGCGGGTATAACGCGGGCCCAGACTCCTCCTGCCCCACAGAACTTTCGAAGGTGAGACAGGAGAGGCCACTGGGAATCTCTGTGCACCCTCCCCGCTTGGAGACTGAAAGGGCCAGGATTGGGGAGAGGGTGGCACCTTCAGACCACACTTTCCAGACGCCAAAACTGAGCAGGGCTGCCAGCCTGAACGTCACCTCTGGAAATGTGACACTTCCTAATCTTTGTGCAGCCAGAAACCAGTTGCATTCTTTCCCACGGTCTCTCAAGGATTCAAGCTGCAACCAGCTGCCTCTTGTGTGGAGCACGGAGCAGGGAGCCGGGAGGCCTGGGTTCCAGATCTGGGGCTGCACTCCGTCCCTGTGTGACCTTGGGTTGTGACCGCCCCCATCTCTAAGCTCTGTCTGCCTCCCTTGTGTTGTTGTTGGTGGTGGTCCCTTGCGGAGGGGTTTTGAAACTCTAACTTAAGGTGCATGGGCTGGTGGGCAGGGCCTGAGACTGGTGAGCCTTCGTGGTGGTGGGGGTAGCAGGGAGAACTACCCAGCTGCCCATTAGCTCAGATTCCATCGGTCCACTGTCAACACTCTCCCTCAGCCTGGCCCTGGATGGCTGCCCTTCTTGGAAACCTTAGGACGTTGCTGGCTCTGGCTGCCCCTTCCCTGTGAGTCAGCTCCTTCAGCAACAGCCTTCCGTCTGGCTTCCACGTCGCCCAGGCCGCACTCCCGACCTGACCTCTTTTGGTGGGAGGCCTTCTCTGGACCCCTCAGCTGCCCCTGCTGCCCTGCCCCACGGCTGTTAACTGGGCTGCTGGGCTTCTGTGCTACCATGTCAGCCCCTGGCTCAGCTCATGCCAGAAGCCTCCGCTGGAGAAACTGTTTGCCCCGCCGAAGGATCCTGCTGTTACACTGGCAGGGAAACTGAGGCCCAGAGTCAGTGAATGGCGTTAGGACATGCGGAGAGGCCGTGGCAGAGAGGGGCCCACTCCCGGGGCTGCGGACCTGGAGTTCGGTAACAGCTCCACGGAGCTCCTCCCGGCGCTCGGGCCCAGCCCCACCAAGTCCCACATGGCTGAGTCTCCAACACCGACCCCTGTGGCGAAGGCTCAGCAGAGTCCCACCCTTCTCTTCCTTCCTCCATCTCTCCTGCTGCAGAAGCCTGCCGTCAACCTGACACCCTCTCTGGGCTGAAGTCCACCCAGCACAGCATCAGACGCTATCGCTTCAGCCCATCACCCTTCCATACCCCTGCCTCCTGCCTCCTCTGCCCACTGATGGCATCACCAGCGTCTGCAGCTGTCTGGCTCCACCCCTCTCATTTTACAGGTGGAAAACCTGAGGCCGGGCCAGAGGAGGGCTCTGCCCCAGCCACAGCAGGGGTGAGGATGGGGAGCCCAGGAACTCACACTCTCAGGCCTGGACTCCACAACTGCCTACTGTTCAGTGCCCTCACCCAGCCCTGTGTCAGCTGGGGAAGGGGAGGAAGGCTGTCCCTTCCAGCTGGCCTCCTCCCCACTGTGTCCCTCCATCCTCCTCTAACCCAGTGGCTGCCACTCACCTTGGTTGGGGGTGGAGGGCTGAACCAGTGGGAAAGGCTGGGCTGGTGGGAGGTCCTGTCGGAAGTGAGCCTGGTGGTGGGATAGCTACCTATATAGGCTTCTGCTCTGGCTATTTTGGGAGGTGCCGCTCCCCCCAGCCCTCGGCCCCCTCCCCTTCCGGTGTCAGGTACTCCTCAACTGTGGTGCTGGGTGTCTGTATCACATTCAGCCTCCCTGGGCCCATCAGGCTAGGCCTATTAATAACCTTGGCCCCGGCCTCCCTTCAGCACCCAAAGTTGAGGCTCAGGCCAGGCTCTCCTCCTCCACGAAGCCTTCCATGATCACGTTAGATGGCAGCAACGTTCCTGTCCTTCAAAGTCCTTCAAGGAAAGAAGAGAAAGGCCAGCGAAGGGACAGGACAGGAACGGTCTTCCGTGCGTGGGGCTGGGCTGCGTTCTCATGCACACGGGCCTCACGCCGGCCTCGCGGCTCGGGCCTGTCCCACTTGCGCGGACGAGGAAGCAGAACGCGGCGATGGCCGGTGGTCTGGGTCTACCACTCAGGCCGTGGACCTGGAGGAGCGACCCGGCGCTTTCAGGAGATGGTCTGGGGCCGGGCGGAAGGGCAGGCCTGCAGGTGCTCTGCAAGTCTCTTCCTCTCTCTGCATCTGTCTCCCGTCTGTAAGGTGAGCTCAGCCCGGGGCAACTTTGTTCTACAGATGGGCTTCGGGGGCTGTGAACCCTCTGAAACAGGCAAAAAGTCACGTGCAAGCGGGCTTTTGTGAAACAGGTCCGGAGCTTTCATGAAATTCACAACGGGATCTCTGTTGTGATCCGTCTTGCATTGGAGATGACCATCCAAGGGGTGTGCTTTGAAAAGCATGAATACATGAATGAGTACATTTGACAAATATTTATCATCTAGTATGGACACTGTGAAAGGCTCCTCTCCTCATCCCCAACCTTAAAAAGAATCTCCTGGGAACTGACATCGTCACCAGTGAAGTCCTGTTCTTGGCGGTGACCTGAGGGTGCCCGGGTTCATGCAAAGGCTGCTGGGAGAGAAGCTACACCATCCTTCATTGGCCATCAGCTCCATGGGCGGGAAGAGCAGAGGGTGGACTGGACGGAGAAGCCGGTGCTGGAGCCTGGATGTGCTAGGGGTCTGGACGAGGGCGACGGCGACAGGCAGACGTGTAGAGATATCTGAGAAGACTCTCCCAGACTTGGGGGCTGTGATGAACGAGATGGACAAATCCATGTTAACTCTACGTTTCTAAGCTGGAGTCCATTGGCCAATGGCGGTGATGCTTTTGAAGGAGGTGAGTCTGGGGAGGAGGGGGGCCAAGTTGGGATGATGACAAGTTGGAACTGAGAATCCTAGGATGTTAGGACCGGGACAGACTCTGTAGTGACCAGCTACGACCTGCTCGTGTTGTAGTGTAGACACCAAGGCCAAGGTGATGGACCCAAATCACCCAGAGAGTAGTGGACAAACCAGGAGGTTGTGCTGGGTTTGGGGTGCCTGGGAGACATTCTGGTGGAGACCCCCGGGAGGTCTGAACTCTGGGGAGAGGTCGGGCTTGGACACAGAACTTTGGTGGTTTTCAGGGAGGTCAAGGAGTTGAAGTCATGAGCGTGGCTGAACTCAAGGGGGCGGTATTGTGGCAGAGGCTGGAGGACTAACCTTTGAGTGAGGGCTGGGAAAAGAACCTCACTCGTTTGTTGAGCAATGTGCCGGGTATGGTGTACACTGCCTTATGCTTGTGTCCTTACAGATAGGCATTGCCTTCCCCATTTTACTAACGAGGGAACAAGGCTCAGAGGGGTTAGGCAACTTGCCTAAGGTCACAGAGCATAGGACTGAAATCTAGGTCTCTCTGACCCCAAGGGTTTTGCTTCTTTCTACTCTGTAGCCCTACTTCTTGAGAAGAGCAACAGAAGAAACGCTGGGGCGGTGCCCACCGTGAGTGAATTCTCTGAAACCAGGGTGGCTTCCTTTCTGGCCCCATGTGTCTCCTTCATGTAATTAGGCAGATCTAGACGGGCTGATGCATATTGAGTGGGGGGAAGGGGGTGCATTCATTGAGCACCTACTGTGGACTTCGTGCTATATCAAATAATTTCATTTTACCCTCATTATAGCTCTCAGAGAGTTGAGGAAATAGGGTCTCAGAGAGGTTTAGTAAGTTGTCCAAGGTCACACAGCAAGTAAGTGAGAGAGTTGAGATTCAAACTCAAAGCTTCCAATTCTGAAGCATCTTCCCCCTGTAACACTTGAAGTGGGTAGGATATACTAAAGCCTGAGTAGAATATTTGAAAAATTATTCAGTTCCTTTGGCTCTGAATCCATGCCAATCCAGGCAGCCATCACTTTATTAATTTGTTTTACAAGGGCCTTGCTGCTAGAGAATAGGGCCCTCAGGCAGGACTTCTTGGACTGTAAGTGATAGAAAGCCTGACCCAGGCTGGATTAATACTCTGTGTATGGTGATGGATGTTAAATAGGCTTATTGTGGTGGTCATTTCGCAATATATACTCCTGAAGCTAATATAATGCTGTATATACCTCAGTAAAAAAGGAAACATTTGATGCTCCCCACTGAAAAAAGACAAAAGGGGATTTATTGCCTCGTGAAACTGATAAGTCCATGAAGGTTCAGGTATGGCTTGATCCAGAACTCAGACACCGCCTCGAGAATGCTGTTTCCGTTCCTCCCCAGTGCCTTGTGCTGCAGTGGCCCCTTCCCAGTCTGGCCGTCCCCTGAGGGTGACAAGGTGGCTCTCCCTGCAGTGCTGTAGGCGTCCAGGCCCAGTTCCACGGGGCAAGGGGAGTCCACTGCCCCCGTCTTGGTCAGAAAGCCCAGAATGGAGTTTCGTTCACTGTGATTAGCTCGGTTTGGTCACACACCGCCCTGAAACTGGTCGTTATCCATTGCAAGGGTGGCACAAGCCTGGCCACAAGGCACCTTCCAACTCAGATGGGGCAGAAGGTCACCATCATTGGAGCTGCTTGGGCGAGGACTGTCCCTGGACCCTCTTGAGAGGTCAAGGATTCTAGGTGGTCAAGGCCTGTGAGCTGTTCACTGAGTGAGTCACTGGGGCGCCAGGCGGTGCCCGGCAGCAGGGAGGGTGATGCCCCAAGTCCTTGGTGAGTGTGATGACAGGATGCATCAAACTTCTCAAGAATGATTCACTCTGCGGCCAAAGTGGCCTTTCCGGACGGACTTGAGAGCCCCAACCCTATCCTGTCCCTTGTGAGGCCTAACAAGCAGCGACACCCAGCCCCTGGGCCTCTGCTTACAGGCAGCAGAAGTGCCCAGTGGAACTGTCCCCTCGCCTTAGGGTCCCTGACTCTGAGCGGCGATGAGGCTGCTGGGTAGATAGAGGACTGACACATGGGGAGACACTGAGCCCTTCTGTCCCCCAGGTCCAAATGCTGTGCCTGGCATCTATTCTGTGAGAGTGGACCCCATTATCCTCCTTTCACAGACATACAGACTGAAGTTCAGAAAAGCCCCGACTTGCCCCAGGTCACACAGCGCGCAGAGCCCAGAGCCTGGTCTGGCTGCCTCCATCCCTGTGCAGTGCTCGCCCCACAGGCCGCCCTGGCTTCCCAGCGGCTGTGGGGTCAGCAGGAGATGGGCACCAACAGAGGGGCCTGACGGGGTGAGGCACAGGAGTGGACAGCCCTGGTCCCTACCTTGGCTCTGCCACTTACCCGCTGTGTGACCTTGAGCTAGTTGCTTCACCTCTCTGGACCTCAGTTTCTTCATCTGTAAAATGGAGCTGAAGAGGAAGCTGTGGTGAATGCCAAATAACATCACGTCTGAGCAGGGGTTTGGAGGATACAAAATCCTACACAAGTGGTAATGAGCGTGGTCGTCTTTGTGTGGTGTTTACCCTTGATTCTGTCCTGCCACCGAACGAGGGGACCCGGAGTGTCGGTGTGGAGACAAACGCAGAGAAGCGAGGACTGCCGCCCTCATCAGCCCTGGCTTCCCCGGGAAGGGCTTGAGACCAGGACTCGGTGTCCTGCTGGGAAGTCAGGGGCACACGTCAGAGCGGGGATAGGAGAACTGGAGACTGCGACATGGAAGGACCTGACCTTGGGTCTCAGACCCGGTGTGGTCCTGGCGGGCGGGGCTCTGGAAAGAGCTGGGCGGGGCTGTGTGAGCCGAGGTAGTGCTCCTCTTGGCCACCTGGGTTTGTGCCCTTCCCTTGAAAACCCATCCCATCTAGGTGGTGCTCAGGAACCGGGGAAAGGGTTTGGTCCTTGCATGGGCTACAGTTATAGAGGGAGCAGGGCACCCCAAGGTCATGGTGTGGAAATCGGAGGACTGGTAGAACTTGGGGGTGCTCTCTGGGAGTCTCTCTCCTGGGTGTGCTGGGTGGTGTGCACGGAGAAGCAGACACAGGTTGGTCTGCAGAGCCTTTAAGACAGCTCTCGGCTCCCAGATGCCTGCTGACCTCAGGGGAGCAGACGGCATCACATCCGGAGTCCAGCTCGGATCGATCGGGGATCCTACATCAAAGAGACAATAGTCCTCTCACATCATAATCTCCTCCTTAGACCTCTGCTAGCTCAATCCATCATCATATCACTCATCCCATAACAACAAGTTAGAATGATCATTGAAAGAGGTGTGTATGTGTATGTGTGTGCACGTATACCTGGGCAGGTGATAAGTCTCCATGTGTTATTTTGGGGCTCCCAGCCAGTGCACTCTGAATGGGCTCCCTATGCCCAGTGCCTGGCACATCCCCCCAGGGGGCCCAAGAGCTCCCACAATCCACATGCAGCTTTCTCAGCACCCAGCATCTGTGCATCCAAATCAGGTTCGTACTGATGTTTGGAACCCTCCTGCGGCCAAGGGAGAAAACAAGGACTCATCTGGAACCATCTCTCTGTCCCTCCGTGTCATGGGCTGAACTGTGCTCCGCCAAAGTTCATCTGCTGAAGCCCTACCCTCCAGGAGCTCAGAATATGACTGTATTTGGAGACAGGGTCTTTGCCGAGGTGACTAGGTTAACACGAGTTCTCTGGGGTGGGCCCTAATCAAATGTGACTCCATACAAAA